TGGCTAGGTTGTGAAAATAAAATCTCCATATACCTCAGCAGGATTTCAAGAATTTATTCATTTCACCAACCAAACCAAATCGAACCAAACTCACTGCCATCTGGTCGATTCCATTTTAGAGTGACCCTGGAGGACAGAGTAGAATGACCTCCGTGAGTTTCCAAGACTGCAACTCTTTAAGGGAGTAGAAAACCCCGTCTTTCTCCCACGGATGGGCTAGTGGTTCCACACTGCTGCCCTTCGGGTGAGCAGCCCGACACATAACCACTCAGCCATCATGTGATATTATTTCTTTCCCATTGGGATGGCTACAGAGAACCCAGTAATTCTTCACCTAGATATGTAAACGAAAGCAGAGACTGGTCCACCTGTGTTCATTGCAACACTGTTTACAATCAACACAAGGAGGAAACAACCTAAGTGCCCATTAACAGAAGAACAAAGGGATAAACAAAATGTGGGACATACATTCAGTGGGATAGGACTCACTCAGGAAGACAAATGAAGTTTGCTACAATGGATACAGCTTGAATATGTTAGGCTAAGTGAAGTAAGTCCACAAGAAAAGATATATATGATCTCGCTCATTGAAAATGACAGGAAAAGGCAAATGTACAGAGAATAGCATTTTTTAGTGGTTATCAGAGGTAAGAGAGAGTGGGGAATGATGGGTGAATGGTGATGAGAATATTGAAAAGATTAGGAGGAGGGTTGAACAGGCTGATCACTGAAATTGCTGTCAGTAAGTTGTACATCTGTACAAAGTTGAACTGGCAGCTTTGTGTGCTATAGATATTTACAACAGCGATCCCCACCCTAATAAGAGGAGCTACTGAGAATTCCTGATGTGCAACCAAAAACATAGTTTTAGAGGATTAAGGTCATGATTTCACAGGACATCCCTGATAATTGACCTAAGATGTTTATTGCTTCTATTTTACCTCCCAGTTTGTTGCATAGTGCTAGGGACCTTAAAAGCTTGCCTGTAGACATCCTAGACCCCAAACTGGTCTCTAGTCACTGGGAAGAACTAAAGAACGCGAATAAGGGATAACAGGAGGATGTGCATTGTGTGGCTGATTGCCTCCATGAATAAACAACTGTTCCCTCTGCGGTGAGACCAGAAGAATGAAACAGTGCCCGACTACTATTACTGAACATTATAGAAGAAGCTTTGATCAAAAGGGAGACACTGCAGAGAAGAATTTCAATTTCTCATAGACTCTAGGTTTC